CAATGCGACGGTGTGATAAGGGTAGCCAATCTCCTTCTGTAATTTAGCCTCTCCCTTGATTAGCTAAGCCTAACGTAATGTTTTTTTCTCTTCTAATTTTAGTTCCTCAGTTCAAAGCAGGGGTTACTGGGTGTAGGCTATACAATTTAGGGATTGGCTCAATGGAAAAAAAAACCTGTTGAACAACCAACAATGCTTCTCAATCTTTGTTTTTGTTGATGCAGAGCTGTCATGTCTGTTAAGACCTAGAGTGAAAACACAAATGTGCGCCACAAGCTAGTTTGAGTTTTCTTTCACCACTTTAATGGCTTCTGTGTACGTACAGGCCAGCTATCCTCAGGCTTCATGCACACTGGCATTTTACTCAGTATCTGCCTGGCTTGCTGAATTACATACTGCACAGCAGCTGCAGAGAGGAAAGGAATGTAAGATGTCGGTGTCTGCAGAAGAGTCTGCAGACTGGGCCCAGATACCTGATATTATGCTCACCTTTACCATGAGAGAGGCGCCCCAGCCACATTGTAGCTCTTTGCAAGCTAGCTTCTCCGCTGTGGGTTTGCCGGTGAACGCAGTTTCCTGTTCAGTCGCTGATTTCAAGGTAAGCTGCCTGCTAGTTACCCCCCCTCCCCCCTTCAATATTTATTGGCATTCCCCACGAGCCAGTCAGGTTTCCTTTGTTGTAGTTCCCAGGGCACATGGACAGGTTCTCCTCCTTCTCCCTCTTCAGCCCACTTGATTGGAATAATTAATTGATCTACGAGACTTTAATGAGGACTAGCCAACCTTTTAAATTCAGGATGCAGTGGTGAGTATTAAAACAGTCACCTGTAATAAATTGAATGGCGCTATGGTAGAGGGCATCCAAAGGTTTAAGAGTAGTGGCTGCTGCATTCTGGTAAATGGTGTCACCATAGTCAATGAATAAATATGTAGTTCACTTGAAATGTTTTTGCAAGAATTAGAGAACAACATATTTAGTCTTGCCCACATTAAGTATGTGTCAGTACCCCTGCTGCACAGATACTGTGTGATTTTAGTAAGGGATGTGACAAATGTTATCTTTGTGAATCATTCACTCTGTTTTTCAAAGTTGTCTGGCCAGTAATTTGTACTGTTTGTCACCAAACTCAAACAGTGTAGGCAGGTCGGCCACAACGTTGCACTAGGCCCATCTATCGGCAATCAAAAGCTGCATCTTGCAATGGAACGCTGTATCTTGCATTTCTTGGCTTGCAATGGCTCGCAACTTCAGTAAAGCAGGGCCTATCATCAATGAATAGGCTAGAATATTCTACACGCAACAGACCGAAGACTGAACATGTTCACAACCCTACTTGCTGTATTGTCAGTGGGTCACTGAGTTGGGGTTTGTTGGATTTAGATCTGTGTGCAGAATTTCTTAAGATGGTTACCTTCCAGGTTCTTACCTTGTACAATAATGGGCAATACATTAATTTGGTTTGTGTTTGAAGAACACTGCAACCTGACCTAGTTATCTGTGCTAATGTTCAGCACAGTGTGAGCCTAGCTAGCCTAGTACTTCTCAACAGAATTTTCCTTCAATTCATTATACACAAACTTCCCGGCAGTTAGTAAGCCCTATGGTCAGTTCCCACCCATATTCATGCTCAAGTAGCAACAAATGCTGTCTCTATACTTTTAAGAGGGTCTTTGCTACATCAACTTGGCCTGACCCACAATACAGCCTGCTTCCTGGCAGCATTGGAGTCCTTAAGTCCCCCCACTATACTTCAGCAATGGAGGGTGAAATGAGTCAGACGGCCTGTTTTTCTCTTCACCGCTACCCGTCGTCCCCCACGTCCAACTTATCTGGCCAATCTCCTGCCTTATACACTGTTTTTGTTTGTTCTCTCCCTAAGCTTTTTAGCTGAGGCTTTTCTCTCTTGCAGGAAGTCTCTGTGATTGATTACTTTGGCCTGGCTGTGGCAGGGTCATTGTTGCTAGGCAACGCCCCCAGATTGGTACTCTGCTGGTTGGCAGTGCTAGCCTGGCTGGCAGTTGACTGGGAGCAGGGGAGGGATTTCACTTGTCACTCAAAAGGTTGCCCTGAGATCATTAAGCACAGCAAACCCAAGTGCAGATGTGCCCTGATTCGGAAAAGGATGTCTCTCGTCAAACTTAATGTGTTTGATCAAATCAGGGGTGAAAGTAAGGCGGTCCAGTATGGAGTCCCAGCAAAATAAATAGTGGCAGTACGCCATACTGGTAGAACATGAGCCTATCACAATAATTAAAACAAAATGTCATAAACTAGGCTATTACACCATTATTTATCATTACCATATCATTAGTCAGAGGCATGAAAAATGAGCGAATGGACTTGAAAATGGGTGGTATGGCCTATGCTCAAATGTAATGTGGTTCGACGAGAACACTGACATTTTGCCAAGGCAGAGATGAATGGCCGTCACCGAGACGCGCGCGGACAGCAGTGGATGCATAAATTCTGGCCTAATGACAATCGACAAAATGTCATTTACACTTTGTGGTGTTTTGTGTAACAGATTTCTCTTTCCATTCACCACTGTTTGGATGCTGGAAATATGTTGCAAGTAGATGAATATGCATGGGTAGCCTAGTAAAGGAGCCCTTTTGACAATCAGATGAAAACATCATGACTTGTTGTTTATGCAACAATAAAAGGTAATGCATTTCAAAAGTTAAATGAAAAATCTTTATGACTAGGCCCACAGAGATCTGATTGAATTAATAGGGATTCTATATGTAATTCTATGATTTTAAGTGCGCGCACACATAGGAGGTCCCGTACTAGGAAGAAATTAAATCTACTTTCACCCATGTATCAAATGGAGTGTTTCAAAATGTAGCCTACAGGAATGGAGATTGAGATGCCGGTGACTTGCTGTCATGGCACTGACATAAAGAACCAAACCTTTTGACAACTTTATTTTAGGGAGTGACTTATGACTTGGGCTTAAGTCTCATTGTTTGTGGGTAAGCTATTTAGATGAACAACGTGATGCTCAAGCTAATAGATCATTGCACCAATCTATTTGGGGTAGCATTGGCAGACAATCTGACACAGTGGCCTTTCAACTAGTCAGTTCATGCAGCATCGTGAACCATTTGAGTCACTCCTACAAACTTAACTTTTCAAGGGGGAAGCCATCCATGTCTAGTCTAGCCCCCTTCATATACTCCTGTCTCTGGGATAAGTACAGCTTTATTGAGTTAGAAAAGTTTGGCCATGGCTTAATAAACAAAGCCAGTCAGATTAGAGCTGCATTGTTCACACAGGAAGACTCAACTCCCCTGCTGCTCCTGTCCTGCTCTTCTTGTGGTGGTGTACTCTGCTCATTTGAAGCCTCCAGCTCAATAATACTTGGCCAGTCAGTCACATGGCTAGCTACCTCACTCTCAAAATGGCATCTGAAAAAGGCTAGTTTTCAATTGATCTTGCCTAGATTCCGCTCTCTCCTTGCCTCCTTTTCAATGTGCATTGGACGAAAATATCCAATGTCCCTCCCCTCAGACTACCGCTTACAATGCATTTTGAGGAGGCGAGGAACGATGAATTGAGAAAGGGCCCATGTAGGCCTGCTGGCTAGTTAGCTTCCCCCTCAGAACAGCTCACGGAGACATGCATGTTTGCTCTTATATTGATATGGCTGCTGCTCCCTCAACCCAAGATAAAGTAGGCAGGCCTCCCTAGATAGAGGTGCACAAAGGCCCTTCGCCCTTTGAGGTGGAATAAGGATGATAAGTCCCCCCGCTTAGCGGCGTTGCCAACAACCGGATGCATCCGGTTTTCAGGGCTAAAGCTAATTCAACCTAGCTTCCTTTTCCGCTGAAAACCGGATGTGGGAACTCCGCTCGGGCGTTTTTCTTTTATGCCTACTATGTTAGATTATCTCATCCCAAATGGCACCCTAATCCCTTTATAGCCTAGTGCCCTGCCTTTGACCAGAGCCCTTCATGGAGAATAGGGTGTCATTTGGGACGCAGCCTGGCTCAGAGGCCCAGCTCTGCAGTGGTCAAAGACCTTGGAGGATGAAACCCAACCCAGTTTCTCTGGAAAGAAGGCTGTAGCATGTGAGGCCGGTGCCCAGTTTCACGCTCCTTCCCGGCCTCTGCATTGCAGTCAGATATCACCCAGATCTATCTAAATAAATCACTCTGCTTTGTGTTTGGTGCTCCTGCCTGTCAACAAAGGCCTCCAGCTTTAGCACCACTGCCAAGTAGACCTCTGCATCAAATATTCAGGTAGTTTTCTTGCTGTGTTATTGCCGGACATGCTGGTACAAGACAAGTAGTCTACTATTTTTGTCTTTGCTTAGTTGGCTCTTAGAGACACGAAGACCTATTAAGCCTGACTGTCTCCTAGTCAGCTATGGATGTGTCACAAGTCCTGAAAGATTTGAAGGAAGAAGTGAAACTGACTCCTTCGCTCCTTTTCGCTAGTCACAGGATCTCAGAAGGGGTGGTTTCCTTCTTAGGAAGTGTGCGCACGCACGTGTGCTGTGTGGGTTGACACAGCTGGTGTGTTTGTTGCCGATGTTACTCCCCAGCTTTAAAGCTCTCCTTCCTGTTAGTGCATTTGTTTTGAAAACCATATCAGCTGAACACTGCAGCTCACAGGATGTGTGCATAGCTGTGGGCCTTCATTTAGGCTTGAGAAAAACATTCTGCTATCATAGAACACTATGCCTACTAGGACTATAGCATGATTGTAGCTTGTAGTGATGATCAACAACATGCAATTTTGGAACACATTTAGCTTCTAAGAATGCCTATCTGACATGGCTGGTTTGCTATGATCAGAGACCATCTAAAAATAAACATGTCACCTTTTTATGTTTGGGCTTACAAGCAAGGGTGTGGCTAGTTGTCTTCTAAAATCAAATAGACAGGCATCATTTTCATAATGGTGCTCCAGGCTTTATTTGTCCTCTGTGAGTGCTGGTTGTTCCCGGCCCTGTTTATGACCGTGTCCCCTGTGTTCTGTCCCCTCTACAGAGCAGATCTTCCAGAACATCCGTCAGGAGTACAGCCGCTACCAGAGGCGACGGCAGCTGGAGGGGGCCTTCAACCAGAGTGAGGCTGCCTGCAGCTCCACCGATGCCCCCAGCTCCTCCCTCACCGCCCCCAGCTCCCCGCCAGGTGAGACCCTGCGAGAGAGAGATGGACACACGTGTACATACACACACACACACAGGGGGGGGCTGGAGTTGTTGATGTTGTGCGAGGTGGGCCAACAACCGAGTCACCTGCCAAACCACGTCACCACCCATATGGTGTTCAGTGTGCGCATGCAGCGGTAATACAAACCCCAAACATTTCAGCCTCCACAGACGTTACATAACGATGCTTGGAGTTGGTATATGTTTTTATAGATCCCATTGGCTCAAGTATAGCTGGTCAGCACAGTCTCATTATTTTCAATGTTTCCAAACCCATAGACAATTACTACATTGACTTGAATGTGAATGTCTGTCGCTCCGTTCTAGTAATTATATTTCTGTCTCTCCTAGTTCCGAGAGCATTGCCTGGAATTTAGCTTTAAAAGCTTTGGTCAGAAATTCAGAATGGGTCAAAGTCCACTTAAAGGCCCAGGGCATGAATCATTCAGCCTCCCCTGGATCCAGCTCCCAAGCTCAGAAGAAGACTTGGAGAAGGGGCCTCTTTAGTGCCACATGACCCTCTAGGCCACTGGTTCCCAACCTTTTTTTAACCATGGCGCACCTTGATGGGATATTACATTCTGCGGCACACCTAAAATGTCCCTATTAATTTATTTAGTGGTAATGACCTCTCATTTTATCTGATTCATACTGCAAACCATCTATTTTCTGTGACAAACGTTTTTTATTAAATATGGTTTATTTGAAATATTTTTATAGTTTTGATAGTTCCATACTCATGATGGTTAACTTGTGTACCCTTTTAAGAGCGTCCCGTGAATCTGTGGCGGAAAGAAGCCAGAAGAAGAAAATGAATCTCGGGTATAATTGGTCTTCAGTGTTGAATGTTTTTTGGGGCTACAGATGAGCGGTTTTCTGCATTGTAAAGGGGCAACCATGGACACAAGGCCATGTTCCGTTTGTTTCTATAGCAGAGGCTGTGGTATAGCTAAGGCCAGAGACACACGTATTAAGAAATAAATGACTCTGGCTAAGCCTAATCAGACTTGCCTGTGCTAATGGTTCTCACAGGTGAAGTAAAATTATACAAATGACTTTGCTCATGATGCGTGCCCCTCAAATGATACAAATGTAACAACATCCTGAGCACACTGGACTTGAAACAACGATACAGATGTAACCATGTGCCATTTCATGTTTTATCTGACCGGCACTAGTGCTCCCAAGTAAACATTCCATGTGCATTCCACAGGTCACGTTTATAAGTGTGTAAACATAACAACCTAGATTAGGAAAGGTTTTGCGGCACACCTGAGTTCCTCAACGCACACCGGTTGGGAACTACTTCTCTAGGCTGCTGCTGAGTCGAAGGTGACAAAAAAAAAGTAATAAATTGTCTTGCGCAGACTCTGTCACCTATAGTGTATGTATGGATGACATGGGGAATGTCAGCCTATTTCAAATCTCACTGTGTGTGTCCCAGGTGCCTCGAGGAAGGACCAGCCGTCGTTCACACTGAGGCAGGTGAGCTACCTGTGTGAGCGCTTGCTCAAAGACCACGAGGAAAAGATCCGGGAGGAGTACGAACAGATCCTCAACACAAAACTTGCAGGTACAGACAGCACTTGGCATATCACCATCCTTAAACTGAAGTCAAAATGGCTTTTCACGTTACTTAGCCAAGCCGAAACAAGCTGAGCTGGCATGGTTACGCATCCACTGTAGATGCTGGAACGTGCCAAAACAGAAAATAAAATGTCAGAGCGAGCACAGTTTGGTTCGGGTCGACTCGATAGTGTGAAAAGGGCAGTTTCGTTTGTCACAGCTGCGTTTTTCTTCTCTTTCTTTTTTTTTTTTAACATGTTTTCACACCCTTTAGCACTAGCAATGAAGAAAGACTGATACAAATGGCACCCTGTGTGCAATAGGAGATAGGCCTATTTGCTGCTCCCCCAGAACACCTTTAATGCCTCCTTTATCTAATGTCCTGCTGATTTTGTTTTTGTTAAATTAGGGCTTCTCTGGGCAGATATGGATTTATAGACTAGACACTACTAGCCAAGACTGCTAATGTTTCTAGAATGGAAATCTGCCCTGACTGGAATGATTATGATCAACCTTTTAGCTGATGTTTAGTGAAGGCTCAAGCACCAAGTATTATTATTTTTTTGCATCATTTGTGGAAATGTATTGACATTATCTGGTACTTGAATCTGCACCGTCACAATTTTGTACTAATCCAATGGCCATCTTGATCCTCTGTTGCAGAACAATACGAATCTTTTGTGAAATTCACACAAGACCAGATCATGCGAAGATACGGTGCCAGGCCTGCTAGTTGTAAGTATCCCAGTTTCAGTTTTCACATTTTACCCGTCCACCATTTTGCTTCAGAAGAGTAAACAAAGCAATCCCTAAAGCCACGTAAAGTAATAGATTTTTCTCTGTTCAGAGTTATAATTCATTCTTCTCCTCTCATTTGTCTTCATGTTGTTGATCTCATCCATTATTCAATCCCTCTGTTTTCAGACGTCTCTTGAATTCCCCCATTGAGGTACCAGCTTTTCTCACAGGACGGCTGCTCTTCTACTGCCTCTTCCTCCACTAGATATGTGATTTTTATGTCCCCCTTTATTTTCTTCATGCTATTTGGGTGCCATGGTATAGCCACATTTTTAATCCAAAACTGATTTCTATACTCCTGAACTGTGGCTGCTGGCCAAAACGCTAACGAATCGGAAGATAATGTAAAAAGTCGATATGCTATCTCTCTGGAATTTTGACTAAAGCAGATTTGTGTCGATCTCCCCAGCGCTGCAGTGGCTATTCTGATCCTTCTGTGTTATAACCTGCCAGCACTGCCCCTCTGCAGCAGCTGTATTGCTAAAGCCCCCTGGCCTCTTATCCACCCAGTTTATTTTTCTCTTTTCCAACTCTGAGGATGTGGATTTTTTTTCCTTTTTAAAATAAAAGTTGTGTGATTTAAAATGGTTTCTCTCAATTACTTTTTTGTCATGCATTCAGTTGATCAAACTGTTAAAAGAAACCATTTTATTTTGGTAATCTTTTTAAATTATAAAGTAAATACATGAGAAAGTTAGTATTTTGTCAAAGGAAGGTTCATTTGTGCAGTGCATATGCTTTAAGGTTTATTTAAGACTGTTACAGTGCATTTGGAAAGTGTTCAGACCCCTTCACCTTTTCCACATTTTGTTACGTTACAGCCTTATTCTAAAATGGATTAACAAAAAAAAATTCCTCTATCTACACACAATACCCCATAATGACAAAGCGAAAACAGTTTATTAGACATTTTTGCAAATGTATTACAAATAAATAGAAAAATGCCTTATTTACATAAGCATTCAGACCTTTTGCCATGAGACTCGAAATTGAGCTCCGGTGCATCCTGTTTCCATGAATCCTCGATGTTCTACAACTTGATTGGAGTCCACCTGTGGTAAATTAAATTGATTGAACATGATTTGGAAAGGCACACAACCTGTCTATACATACACTACCGGTCAAATGTTTTAGAACACTTACTCATTCAAGGGTTTACTTTATTTTTACTATTTTCTACATTGTGGAATAATATTGAAGACATCAAAAGTATGAAATAACACATGGAATCATGTAGTAACCAAAACAATGTTAAACAAATCAAAATATATTTTATATTTGAGATTCTTCAAAGTAGCCACCCTTGGCCTTGCACACGCTTGGCATTCTCTCAACCAGCTTCACCTGGAATGTTTTTCCAACAGTCTTGAAGGAGTTCCCACATATGCTGACCACTTGTTGGCTGCTTTTCCTTCACTCTGCGGTCCGACTCATCCCAAACCATCTCAATTTGGTTGAGGTCGGGGGATTGTGGAGGCAAGGTCATCTGATGCAGCACTCCATCACCCTGCTTGGTCAAATAGCCCTTAAACAGCCTGGAGGTTTGTTGGGTCATTGTCCTGTTGAAAAACGAATGATAGTCCCAATAAGCCCAAGCCAGATGTGATGGTGTATCGCTGCAGAATGCTGTGATTGCCATGCTGGTTAAGTGTGCCTTGGATTCAAAATCAATCAGACAGTGTCACCAGCAAAGCACCCCCACACCATAACAGCTCCTCCTCCATGCTTTACGGTGGGAAATACACATGCAGAGATCATCCGTTCACCCACACTCACAAAGACACAGCGGTTGGAACCAAAAATCTCAAATTTGTACAAACATTTCCACCGGTCTAATGTCCATTGCTCGTGTTTCTTGGCCCAAGCTAGTCTCTTCTCCTTATTTGTGTCCTTTAGTAGTGGTTTCTTTTCAGCAATTCGACAACGAAGGCCTGATTCACGCAGTCTCCTCTGAGCAGTTGATGTGTGTTACTTGAACTCTATGAAGCATTTATTTGGGTTGCAATTTCTGAGGCTGGTAAATCTAATGAACTTATCCTCTGCAGCAGAGGTAACTCTGGGTCTTCTATCCCTGTGGCGGTCCTCATGAGAGCCAGTTTCATCATAGCGCTTGATGGTTTTTGCAACTGCACTTGAAGAAACTTTCAAAGTTCTTTGCTTATTTGAGCTGTTCTTGCCATAATATTGACTGACCTTAATGTCTTAAAATAATGGACTTGTTTCTCTTTGCTTATTTGAGCTGTTCTTGCCATAATATGGACTTGGTATTTTAACAAACAGGGCTATCTTCTGTGTACCACCTCTACCTTGTCACAACACAACTGATTGGCTCAAACGCATTAATAAGGAAATAAATTCCACAAATTAACTTTTTAAGAAGGCATACCTGTTAATTGAAATGCATTCCAGGTGACTACCTCATGAAGCTGGTAGAGTGAATGCCAAGAGTGTGCAACGCTGTCATCAAGGCAAAAGGTGGCTATTTGAAGAATCTCAAATATAAAATATATTTTGATTTATTTAACACTTTTTTTTGGTTACTACATGATTCCATATGTGTTATTTCATAGTTGTGATGTCTTCACTGTTATTATACAATGTAGAAAATAGTAAAAATAAAGAACCCCTTGAATGCTTAACCCTAATTGCTCCTGTAAGTCGCTCTGGATAAGAGCGTCTGCTAAATGACTAAAATGTAAATGTAAATGTAATGAATGAATAGGTGTTCCAAAACTTTTGACCGGTAGTGTGTATGGTCCCACACTTGAAAGTGCATGTCAGAGAAAAAACCAAGCCATGAGGTCGAAAGAATTGTCCGTGGAGCTCCGAGACAGGATTGTGTCAATGCACAGATCTGGAGAAGGGTGCCAAATAATTTCTGCATTGAAGGTCCACAAGAACACAGTGACCTCCATTATTCTTAAATGGAAGAAGTTTGGCACCACCAAGACTTCCGAGAGCTGGCCGCCCAGCCAAACTGAGCAATCGGGGGAGAAGAGCCTTGGTCAGGGAGGTGACCAAGAATCCGATGGTCACTCTGACAGAGCTCCAGAGTTTCTCTGTGGAGATGGGAGAACCTTCCAGAAGGACAACGTTCTATGCAGCACTCCACCAATCAGGCCTTTATGGTAGAGTGGCCGGACGGAAGCCACTCCTCAGTAAAAGGCACATGACAGCCCGCTTGGAGTTTGCCAAAAGGCACCTAAAGAACTCAGACCATGAGAAATAATATTCTCTGGTCTGATGAAACCAAGATTGAACTCTTTGGCCTGAATGCCAAGCGTCACGTCTGGAAGAAACCAGGCACCGCTCATCACCTGGCCAATACCATCCTTACGGTGAAGCATTGTGGTGGCAGCATCATGCTGTGAGGATGTGTTTCAGCGGCAGCGACTGGGAGACAAGTCAGGTTTGAGGGAAAGATTAACGGAGCAAAGTACAGAGAGATCCTTGATGAAAACCTGCTCCAGAGTGCTCAGGACCTCAGACGGGGGCGAAGGTTCACCTTCCAACAGGACAACGACCCTAAGCACACAGCCAAGACAATGCGGTAGTGGCTTCGGGACAAGTTTCTGAATGTTCTTGAGTGGCCCAGCCAGAGACCGGACTTGAATCCGATCAAACATCTCTGGAGAGACCTGAAAATAGCTGTGCAGCGACGCTCCCCATCCAACCTGACAGAGCTTGAGAGGATCTGCAGAGAAGAATGGGAGAAAATCTACAAATACAGGTGTGCCAAGCTTGTAGCATCATACCCAAGAAGATCGCTGCCATAGGTGCTTCTGTCCCTCTCCTCGCCCCTACCTGGGCTTGATCCAGGGACCCTCTGCACACATCGACAACAGTCACCCTCAAAGCACCGTTACCCGTCGCTCCACAAAAGGCCGCTGCCCTTGCAGAGCAAGGGAAACAACTACTTCAAGGTCTCAGAGCGAGTGACGTCACCGATTGAAACGCTACTAGTGCGCACCACTAACTAGCTAGCCATTTCACACCGGTTACACTCACCCCCCTTTTGACCTTCTCTGCAGCAACCAGTGATCCGGGTCAACAGCATCAATGTAACAGTGTTGCTTCCATCCCTCTCCTCGCCCCTACCTGGGCTTGAACCAGGGACTCTCTGCACACATCGACAACAGTCACCCTCGAAGCACCGTTACCTGTCGCTCCACAAAAGCTGCGGCCCTTGCGAGGAGAGGGACGGAAGCAACACTGTTACACTTCAACAAAGTTCTGAGTAAAGGGTCTGAATACGCATGTAAATGTGATATTCCCGGGGGGGTTTAAATGAATTTGCAAATATTTCTTAACCTGTTTTTGCTTTGTCATTATAGGGTATTGTGTGTGTTTAATCAATTTTAGAATACGTCTGAATACTTTCCGAATGCACTGTATGACTTGAGTAATCAGGTTGGGGGTGAACTATTGTGATATTTCCAATATGTCTAATTTAACACTACTTCCTACCCCCAATGGGTACTTATGAAGATCTGAGAGGATTGGTGTATATTTGCAAATCGACAAGCGTCCCAATAAAGTCTGTACGTGTAAAACTAGTTTTTTTGAGACGAGTGTCATTATTATGGGTATTCTCTTTTGTAATGGTCTCTTCCACCCTCTAGTGGTACAACTCGTATTGTGCATGGAATTGCTTTGATAGGATGCTTGACGGTACAGCAGGCTTTTCCTTTGGAACAAGGTAAATATTTGAACACCAGAATCGTTGATAAACATGTACATGACTCGTTTGTCTGTGGTCCACGAAACAACGGTGCATATCACACTTTTAATCACCGGTTGTTGGTGGAGGACATTATGCAGGTAAAAATCATAAATTGGGACCTCTAGCCAAAGCCTCAAACCCATGACGTCACCGATCTCAGGTGTTACCGGAAGCGCAGGTGAGTTGTTGCTAAATGCCTGTAAAGTTTGCGCTACGTTCAACTTTTTAGATTTATGAAATGAGATTCTGTAGTCTATGCATTTCAAGTGGGGTTGCTTCAGTGGTTTGTTTGGAAAAGGAAGGAAGTTCGTAGCAGGAAAAGCCAAGCGAGGACTATAATTATCTCAAGTCATTTATCAGAATAGACCGTCATTTTCAGAAAGGTGCAGTAGTGAGGATTTTACCCGCTTTGGAATGTCCGGACTGTTTTAGAATTGCGTGAAAATATAAAAACATCAAAATAAAAAGTATTACAGGGAAACTGCTACAATAATTTATGTATTTTGAGATGCTAGTGGAAACGTTGAGTTGAATCATTTTACTCGACAGCTCTTTCAATTGGTACGTAAATTACTTCTAAACTTTCTAAATACCATTGCCTGCTATATAGGCCTACGGAGTAAAGCCTCTGTTATTAGGGAAAATGTGCAGACCTACTTCTGTACTGAATGGGACATGATCGCGTGTGTGTGTGTGTGTGGGTGGGTTAAGTTTACATAGGCTAATGGTTCATATACAGGGAAACTGAAAAAAGCCATGTAGTCAAAAAAGGGTTTAGGAAAATTAACTTTATTCGTTTGAAATTGTATTGCCCGCGCTTGTATTTCTGTCATTCATATTGACCCGACAGTGGCAGACTCCAAAGTAGCCCAATATATCAGCCATTTATGTATTAAACCAGGGTTCCCCAATAGGCAGTCTGAAAAAAAGGGTTTAGGAAAATTAACTTTATTCCTTTGAAATTGTATTGCCCGCGCTTGTATTTCTGTCATTCATATTGACCCGACAGTGGCAGACTCCAAAGTAGCCCAATATATCAGCCATTTATTTATTAAACCAAGGTTCCCCAATAGGCAGTCTGAATTTATTGCCCCCCCCCCCCCCCCCCCCCCCCCGCCCTAAGATTTCTGAGAAAATACATATATTTAGGCCTATATATATTGTAAAATGTATAATTTAGAAAATCGGTTCCCAAGTACTCCCAACACATAAATAGAGAGGCATATGTGATTGTATCCCAATGTAATCAAGGTTTTAAATGATTATGTTTTTGCCAAATCTGTCTGGGATTCTTGCGGTACATTTTCCAGCCCGCAACCATGGCTGTAATTGGGGACCCCTTTATTAGGCTAATTCCAAAAAGCATCTGCGCTGTGTGCCTGGAAGAGTTGTGTAGCTACTGTAATTGTCCCTAGAGACAACAATGTTAAGCTCTTTCGCATGTTTATAACACTATCAAATACCTTACTAATGTGTTGTTAACCCTGTAGCTACTCAACACATAATATCTCACCCTTACAGTTTTGTTACTCTGAGGCAAACCCAACCCATTTAACACAACATACACTCTAATAAATCAATTAGTGTTACATTGAATGGTACTATCCTGACCTATATGATTTTATTCCAAATAAATCCTCTGCCTATGGTCTAGTTTCCCAGACACAGATTAAGTCAAGTTTAATCAATGTCTAGGAAACCAGCCCTCAATGTATGTCTATCGACACATACTGAAAAAAACATTGACATACTTTCATAGAGAATGCATGATTTAAAATGGAGAAATGTAGCATGTTCTTCCTGTCAATTCATTTGACTTTAGGACTCCTCCACTATTTGTCTAGGCTACAATCTGAGGAGTGATGGACATAGACATTGAGGAGCAGGACCCCCTCGCTGTAGACCCTGTAGACAGAGATGGGAGACGGATGGGGGATACGGAAGGTGATGATGACGGGAATAGGAAGGTTGGATGCTGCGAGAGGTTCCATCACTCCATCTCTAAGTGGATGCTTCCGGAAGAACTCCACGAACAGTACCGGGAGCGAGCCAACTGCTGCCCCCCTCCCATCTTCATCATCCTCATCAGCATCGGAGAGGTGAGGGTTAATACACATCATGGTTAATACACATCATACTAATGGCAGCGCAGCACTGACAACAAGTAGCCTCTTTCATCTACATACGGTGTTATGATTGGGTTGTTATACCTGAGTGAATTTTCGATTTCAAGAAATGCTCTGGACATGGTATTTAAAGAGAGAGGTGCAGCTGATATTATACCTCCACCATGGTTCATTGGACAAAGCCTATGGGAAAATGAATTGAGTATTTGTAGAGTTTTTGGATAAAGCCTAAAATAAGGTATGTGGTAAACACAGGCTTAGGAGGTCTTATACGTTTTGTTCTATGAGATAATCTTCATCAGCTAACGTCACTTTTTGTGAATTTTGAAGCGTTTATGTAATCAGAAAAAGCACAAAGCACAAAGGCTTCATAATTCATAAAGGTCATGTTAACTGACTGATATTATCTCATAGAACAAAACGTATAAGCTCTCCTAAGCCTGTGTTAACCTCAGACCTTATTTTCTATGTTTATCCCAAAACCCTATTCTTTCCCCATTCATTTTCCCCATAGGAATGGCTGTACAAACCAGAGGTGACTCATTTCCATTTTTTAGGACTACAAGCTGGCGAGCTCTATTAAATGGCCCAATATTGGTATTTGTGTATTCAGGGTGACTTTTTTTCTGAGTTTGGATGCGGCTAAGATCCGAACTGAAGAGCTCTTGTACCTGACATTCCTCTCTCTCCTTCTGCTGTGGGAAGTCTCTGCCAGTGTATCCATCTCAATGTCTGAATTCATCCAAGATTCTTAGTGCAATCCCTAGACCTATGCATTGGCTCAATGAAAATAGAGTTTGAGCACAAATAACATTGGGTCCAGGGTTTAAGGCTATCCTCCCAAGGAATGTGTTTTTAATCATACACCACCGCACACTGTGTCCATGACATTTCACTGATATTTTAGTAGTGTGGTGAGCTTGTTATGGCAGAATCATTGAGATGTGTGTTTTATATTAAAGGTGTTAAAGTGAGTGGAAAAATTAGCCAGGTCGACAGTTTGTTAAAGGAATTTGTCTAGGGTTCTCTGCTCTTCTCATTAACTTTGTTGCCAATGTGTGTTATCAGTTTGAAGTATGTTTGTATGCTGCTGTAATGGTCTGCTCTGCCCATACTGCACTTTGTGAAAGGCTAACTAATGGCTACATTTAAAGCAACTGTTTAGCCTTTCAGGACCCCTCCTGTATCAAATAATAAATAAATAAATAATTGGTCATTTAGCAGACGCTCTTATCCAGAGCGACTTACAGGAGCAATTAGGGTTAAGTGCCTTGCTCAAGGGCACATCGACAGATTTTTCACCTAGTCGGCTCGGGGATTAGAACCAGCGACCTTTCGGTTACTGGCACAACGCTCTTAACCACTAAGCTACCTGCCGTATCATTATGTAACTAGTCACTGATCTACCCTGTGTCTGTCTGGACAGTTAGCGGTGTTTATCTACTATGCGGTGTGGAAGCCCCAGAAGCAGTGGGTCACCCTGGGCGAGGGCATCTGGAACAGCCCTCTCACCTACAAATCTGACCGGCGGGAGGAGGCGTGGCGCTTTGTCTCCTACATGTTTGTCCACGCTGGGTAAGGGTCACTTCACCTCACACAGATGCCCAAGCCCAGACGTTTTGGGGCGGTTTCCCAGACAGAGATTATACACTGGGGATTCTCCATTGACCAAACTTTTTAGTCCAGGACTAGGCTTAATCCACAGGAGGCTGCTGAGGGGAGGACGGCTCATAATAATGGTTTTGGAGAGAAAAGAAAGAAGGGATACTGGTCTGTAGTTGTTGACATCGGAGGGATCGAGTGTTGGTTTTTTTGAGGAGGGGTGCAACTCTCGCTCTCTTGAAGACGGAAGGGACATAGCCAGCGGTCAAGGATGAGTTGATCAGCGAGGTGAGGTAAGGGAGAAGGTCACCGGAGATGGTCTGGAGAAGAGAGGAGGGGATAGGGTCAAGCGGGCAGGTTGTTGGGCGGCCTGCCGTCACAAGTCGCAAGATTTTATCTGGAGAGAGAGGGGAGAAAGAAGTCAAAGCATAGGGTAGGGCAGCAGTGTCATTTGACTTAACAAACGAGGATCGGATGTCGTCAACCTTCTTTTCAAAATGGTTGACGAAGTCATCCACAGAAAAGGAGGGGGGGGGGGGGGGGGGGTTAGAGGCGGATGCTTGGAATTTAGAGTGGTAGAAAGTGGCCTTAGCAGCAGAAACAGATGAAGAAAATGTAGAGAGGAGGGAGTGAAAAGATGCCAGATCTGCAGGGAGTCTAGTTTTCTTCCATTTCCGCTCAGCTGCCCGGAGCTCTGTTCTGTGAGCTCGCAATGAGTCATCAAGCCACGGAGCTGGAGGGGAGGACCGAGCCGGCCGGGAGGATAGGGGACATAGAGAGTCAAAGGATGCAGAAAGGGAGGAGAGGAGGGTTGAGGAGGCAGAATCAGGAGATTGGAGGGAGAAGGATTGAGCAGAGGGAAGAGATGATAGGATGGAAGAGGAGAGAGTAGCGGGAGAGAGAGAGCGAAGGTTGCGACGGCGCATTACCATCTGTGTAGGGGCAGAGTGAGTAGTGTTGGAGGAGAGGGAGAGAGAAAAGGATACAAAGTAGTGGTCGGAGACTTGGAGGGGAGTTGCAGTGAGATTAGTAGAAGAACAGCATCTAGTAAAGATGAGGTCAAGCGTATTGCCTGCCTTGTGAGTAGGGGGGGACGGTGAGAGGGTGAGGTCAAAAGAGGAGAGGAGTGGAAAGAAGGAGGCAGAGAGAAATGAGTCAAATGTAGACGTAGGGAGGTTGAAATCCCCCAGAACTGTGAGGGGTGAGCCATCCTCAGGAAAGGAACTTATCAAGGCGTCAAGCTCATTGATGAACTCTCCAAGGGAACCTGGAGGGCGATAGATGACAAGGATATTAAGCTTAAATGGGCTAGTGACTGTGACAGCATGGAATTCAAATGAGGAGATAGACAGATGGGTCAGGGGAAAAATTGAGAATGTCCACTTGGGAGAGATGAGGATTCCTGTGCCACCACCCCGCTGACCAGATGCTCTCGGGGTATGCGAGAACACATGGTCAGACGAGGAGAGAGCAGCAGGAGTAGCAGTGTTTTCAGTGGTAATCCATGTTTCCGTCAGCGCCAAGAAGTCGAGGGACTGGAGGGTAGCATAGGCTGGGATGAAGTCTGCCTTGTTGGCAGCAGAACGGCAGTTCCAGAGGCTGCCTGAGACCTGGAACTCCACGTGGGTCGTGCGTGCAGGGACCACCAGGTTAGAGAGGCAGCAGCCACGCGGTGTGAGGCGTTTGTGTAGCCTGTGCGGAGAGGAGAGAACAGGGATAGGCAGAGGCATAGTTGACAGGCTGCAGCAGATGGCTACAATAATGCAGAGGAGATCGGAATAAAATGAACTAAACATCTGGGAAAGGAGAGAGCGGGGCCTCCCTCACCACAACTCCCAAATATAACTCTCCCAACTTCCACCTCAGAAACTATAATTGTTGTAAACTACAGCGGTTCAATGTTTTCTAGGAATAGACTAACCTAGTTTATTCAGCTAGCTAACTAGGTGCAGTATTATTCCGTGAAAAACGTCCGGGCACCTCGTCATAAGACGCCACAGCCAGCTAGCATGCCGGTCTCCAGCAGCAGGGTTTAGCGCCAATACTCAGCCACAACAACCACCAGTGTATCAACACACAAGCAGATCGTTCGTGTCCGTGTCTAACGTTGTGGGTTAGTCCCGACAGCTTGAGCGAGTCCGTCGTCAACTTATTCAGCCAGTTAGTTAGCTAGAATAGTTAGCAAACTAGCTAGCCATTGCTTTCAGACAAAGAAGAACCCCTCCCTTCACGGCACGAACACACAGAGAGAGCCAAACTAACGTTAACTAGTCACCCATGTCCCGAATTCCTTGAGCGACTCGGGCTATCAATATGTAAAAAACAAAACACAAGTGTAGGTTATGACTTACCCCTAGCAGCTACTGTTAGCTAGCCAAGTGCAAAGCTAGCCACTGAATTGACTCAGCCAGTTCGCGTCTGTTCGCTCGGTCGTTCCAGCTATTGTTTACAAGTAGCTATCCAGGTTGCAACAAGCTTGCTAATTTTCAAGCACAGTAGCCACTTGCTACCTAACGTTAACGGTTCAGACAATGAGGTTAGAAAACAGCTGAATGGTAGGCAGTTATTGTATGTAATCATTGCAGGCAGCCAGCTGGCGTAATTACAGGCACTCTCAGGCGTGAAACAACTATACCGTTGCTAATAGCTACTCGCCAGCTAGTCCAGGTGGTGAGTTAGCTAGCTAGCTAGCTTCGTGCTACACCCGGCACCGCCGAATACAATACTAACCTACAATAATTACATACAACAACTACCTACAACAACCCACGATACCTACCTACAATACCTAACTACAATCTAAATACATAGTTTAAGCCTTACTCGACAAAGCCCAAGCTATGTATAAAGCCAAACTTACCCGGCGCCAAGCTTACCCGACGACCTCCTCCCAGCTAAATAGCTGACAAACATTGTCGTAGCATTGAACTAGCTAGACACCTAGCTATAGGGGATAGCATAGATAGCAAGCACCCCTTTGCAATGACAGAGCTACCCCAGTGAAAAATTCCTGCCGCCACCACTGTACTCCCAAGTCTCAACTCCCATGTCTCCATCTCCTCTCTTCCTCCCCCACAGCGTGGAGCACATCCTGGGCAACCTGGTGATGCAGCTAATGCTGGGCATCCCGCTGGAGCTGGTCCACAAAGGCTTTGAAGTGGGCATGGTCTACATGGCAGGCGTCCTAGCAGGTGGGCATCCACATTACACCCCCTTTTTCCATTGACGCACAGTCAATTAGACACAGTTGTCTTCAAAGGTCTGTTACGACTGAATTAAGTTGCTTTTAAGTTGACTCGTGTGGCTAGTGACATGAGTAGGATAGCATATGATTGGTTAACCAACACAATGTGCGCGACAGGTTGCCTTAGTTGTTATTAGCTCACTTGTTACATACCACCTCTGGGTTTTTGCTGATCATGACTGCACAATGCTAGCAACTCACAGGCACTGAGCTGTGTAGGTGTTATTCTCTGAAATTCTTTAGCTTCTCAAAAGGTCTATTTTTCCTTGGGTTTCATAGCTGAAACGTCTGTAATGCTATAGATGACCTTCTCATGCATTTTTTTTCCTCAGGCTCCCTGGCCAGCTCCATATTTGATCCTCACAGTGCTCTGGTAGGGGCATCTGGTGGGGTATATGCCCTCATAGGTGGATACTTCATGAATGCTATTGTGGTGAGTTCTGGCTAACTGCTGATTCTACTATTTTAGCAGATTGTTTCTCTCTCTCATTATTTCCTTGTTCCTACCTCTTGTTTTACTCCCTGGCCTACAGAACTTCAGAGAGATGATTCCTCTCCTTGGAGTGTTTCGTATTGGAGTGATTGTGATTATCGGTAGGTCTCTTCCCAGATCCACTCCTATTATTTTCCCACCAGTGCCTCAAGGTTTACTGTTCCAGCAGCGCCCACTCCTCTGTGGTCGTACTTCAGTAACTAAACATTCAATGTTTTCTTTCTCAAGTCGGGACAGATATCGGATTCGCCCTTTACAGAAGGTTTCTTACTCACGACGTTGGCTTGAAGGTAAGACATTTTTTTTCTTCTCGCATGCCCTTTCTCTTTTTAAGGTGTATGGCATTGAAAGATTTTCCACAGACAGATAAGTATTGTTTCAGCAGAGAGCAATGCTTTTTTAGAACAGTCTTTAGATCACAACTGGAGAGGCTCTTATGTGAAGTCCAACCCTAGACCAATATAACAGTGAGTGGACCTGGCTTTTATCAGTGTATGTAAATAGAAAACTATAGACAACTGCAGTAGCAGTACCACCCATCTGAATTATACAGGTTACAGTTACACAGACACAAACTCCCATGCCAGGACTGACTAATCTCTAAACCAGATTGCCCTCTACACACACACTGTGTCACAGACACAACCTGTCTGTTCCCCCTGAATTATTGCACCCAAACCATTCATGTCACTAGACTGTGATGAGTGTGACCCTTGATTCTGTTCTCTCTGCTTTAGGAGAAGCTGAGAGCATGATAAGGGTTGCAGCTGTTTGTCTTTCCAGCAGCGTAACTGACTGCCCTATAGGCTACTAATCTATCACTTGCTTCCCCTCTCTCATCTTGCTTTTATTTCCTGTTTTCTTGGTCTTTGGTAGAAGTGCAGTTCCAGATTCACTGGCTGCTTTTAAAAGGGTCCTGCTAGATTGACTGTCTGTCCACCCTTTGCATACTAACCACAGCCACAGGGCAGAGCATGCTAATTGCAAGGCTGTAGCACAGCATGTCTTTGTTGGTTTTGAAGGGAAAACGAGACTGAAATGAGACTCCTCCCTGGTCTCCCTCAGGTCTCGTTTGTGGCGCACATCGGAGGAGGGGTGGCTGGGATGACCATTGGTTACGTGTTCTTCAGCGCCTACAACAAGAAGCTCTTGAAGGACCCGCGCTTCTGGCTCTGTATAGTCGGATACGTTGTCTTCCTCTTGTTCGCTGTGCTCTTCAACATCTTCCTTTCCCCTGCATAATTTCACACTACACAAATGAATGTGTTTTGAATAACGGAAATAGGGCATTTCAGGGACTTTGAAGGTTATCCAAAAAATGTAAACCCCCCCTACTTCAGGAGATAAGATATTTAAATGGGAAAGAGGGACCCCTGTTGTTGAAGTGTAGTATTACACACAGCACATTATCTTTGTTACATGGTGTTTTTAGTGATGTTGATAATGATATGCATTATTCATTTGATCTCTAGGTTTTGTACTGAACTCAATATACCTCAGTTTGTTGGTGTTACGGGTGTTTTTTCCATATGATGTTTGTCCTGATTGGTCAGTGAGGTAGGACATTATTTCCCCCAAGCAGGTAATTTCCTCCAAGTTTTACATTGGCCTACAAGTGTGTGTGTGTGTGTGTGTGTGTGTGTGTTCTGGGTATTTTCAAGCCATCAGGAGCAAGTGTGTCATCTGTTGGTGAATAGTGTCAATTCATAAACAAGTCATGCCAATGGCCCAATGCCAGATTATTGTTTCACTTCCCTGTTGACAGGATGAGACGCTATCTGCTAATAGTACATATCAATGTAAATCTGCTCACCTATCCTTGGCTAAACCTCTTTCAATGATCATTTATTGAAGGCAAGATTTTAATTTAGCTTTTACTACTTGCCAGCAGTTTGTATTTATCAGTCAGTCAATCTTTTGGGTGTTTAGGATGATTGTACAGTGGAACAGTAGAGGGCAGCACTTTCCATTGTATATTAGGCATTTTCTATATCATTTCAATTGTGTCTGTGTGTATTAGTCTACATAACCTTTCAGTAAAATGAAAAGGTCATTGAAAAGGCCTCATCTTTAGGCCATCTGTATGGCATATTTTTATTGATTATATTTTCTAATGTTTTTCCTAAACTTATTTGTTGTGATATTTGTTAGTTGGTATCTGAAACCAAATAGTGGTTCAACAAATCTCTAAGAAACCAATACATACTTTAGGTATTTTATGTAATTACAACTTTACCATGTACTTTCTAAGTAAATGTCTGGTAGATAGCATAACATTCCAATTGTAAATTACTTGTTTTGTATTTGAAGGTCATTTTTTGGATCTCCAGACTCGATCTTGTATCCTTTCATCACTTTTACATTAAATACATATTTTACATTTCCAAAATCCCTTCGGATCTTAGATCTGCGTTGACAAAGCAATGCATAAACCGATCTCTGAAAATGATTGGATTATTAGTTTTGTTGTTGTGTATACTCTATTGGTGTTATACGACTAATATGTTTTGCCAAGATTAACTATCTTAATTCATCTGGCCTTTAGAATGCCAGACATGGAGGTTAGTGAATGGGTATGGAGCAGGTTATTTGCTTGACTGATGTCTGACCTGACCTAGGGTTCCAGGCAGCCTCGCTTCTATGGCTCTCATTATCTGACAGTCGCTTCAAAAAAAGACAATTGATCGTACCCCAATGACAGCCACCACTCTAGCCAGTTTATGTGGAACATTCCATAGTTCCAGACTCGGAACATCAATACAGTGACATTATTTAATTATGCGCTAGTTAATGCTTGCTTGTTTACGTTGTGGACACTTAAACCATTGGTTAAGAGGGGTAATGAAGCTTCAGAAAGTAATGGCCAAGTTGTCATTGCAAATAAATATTGGTTCTTAAATTCACCAAACTGCTGGAATAAAGGCTAAACAAAATCCTCAAACTAGGTTCACCTAATGTGAATCCCTGACTATAAATGTGTTTGAATCAGACTAATATGGAAAGTGAATCGATTCCCCCTAGTTATGCCAAATGATTTGACCTATATTCTAAAGAGATACCATTTCAGGGCAGTACACAGGGTTCTCAGGTGAATGGTATAGTCAGTCTATATTGGGTACCAGATTGTTTGGGATTGAACAATGCTAGCTCCTGTATTCCGTCTGCCCAACAATAATCCACCCAGGATTTGGGGTTAAGGTTTCGTACTGAGATCCAATATTTTCAGTTTCCCTTTGTCGTGCTCTAACTAATGACCTGCACAATCAGACTTACTTATCACGGGGAGCTACTAGTAGTAAATGTTTGGATTTGGGCCAGTAGAGATATTTAATTGATTCTTCTGCCAAATTTAAAATGAATGTGTGGCAGGTGCTTTGGAAAGCTGGAAAGTGTTAGTGACAGACATTAGGGATAGCATTTGAAATAATGTCTGTGTTCGAGTGCTCATGAAAATGATTTTGAGTACGCTCATATTAGTTTTAAATGAAACGGGGTTGAAGGAAACTGTATTCTATTGGTTGTTCCAATTCCTGGTTCTTCTGAAACACAACTGAAAACAAAACAATGTATTTTCACTGCACTTGATACACTCCACAAAAAAGAGTTTGAAATGGTGGCAGTGCTTATACATTTAATCTGCTAAATATACTGAACAAAAATAGAAACGCAACAATTTCAATGATTTTACTGAGTTACAGTTCATATAAGGAAATCAGTCAATTATAATAAATTAGGCCCTAATGTATGGATTTCACATGACTGGGCAGGGGCACAGCCTGGGAGGGCAGTCCCAACCAATTGGGAGCCAGGCCCTGCCAATCAGAATGAGTTTTTCCCCACAAAAGGGCTTTATTACAGACAGAAATACTCCTCAGTTTCATCAGCTGTCCGGGTGGCTGGTCTCAGACGATCCCGCAGATGAAGAAGCCTGATGTGGGGTCCTGGGCTGGCGTGGTTACACGTGGTTTGCGGTTGTGAGGCTGGTTGGACGTACTGCCAAATTCTCTAAAACGAGGTCGAGGCGGCTTATGGTAGAGAAATGAACATTCAATTCTCTGGCAACAGCTCTAGTCGACATTCCTGCAGTCAGCATGCCAATTGCACGCTCCGTCAAAACTTGAGACATCTGTGGCATTGTGTTCTGTGACAAAACTGCACATTTTAGAGTGGCCTTTTATTGTCCCCAGCACAGGGTGCACCTCATGCTGTTTAATCAGTTTCTTGATATGCCACACCTGTCAGGTGGATGGATTATCTTGGCAAATGAGAAATGCTCACTCACAAGGATGTAAACCAATTTGTGCACAAAATTTGAGAGAGATACATTTTTTTGTGCATATGGAAACTTTCTAGGATCTTGGTGTATGGTGAAATAAGTATAGCCAGTTATAATTGTAATTATCTGACACTCAAGAAGAAGGTCTGATCTCATTATTACTCAAACAGGATACAAGTGGAAAATATAAAGATTCAGTCCATTTACAAAATTGGAGGCCCCTTACACTTCAGTGTTGTGATGAAAAAATTCTAGCAAAATGTATAGCGCATAGAATAAAACATGTATTGTCGGATATTATTCATTCTAATCAGACAGGTTTTTTTTTTTTTACATGGAAGATACATTGGAGATAATAAGGCAAGTATTGGAAACAATAGAACACTATGGAAAATATGGGAAACCAGGCCTGCTATTCATAGCAGACTTCGAAAAGGCATTTGATAAAGTTCGACTGGGGTTTATATATACAGTGGGGAGAACAAGTATTTGATACACTGCCGATTTTGCAGGTTTCCCTACTTACAAAGCATGTAGAGGTCTGTAATTTTTATCATAGGTACACTTCAACTGTGAGAGACGGAATCTAAAACAAAAATCCAGAAAATCACATTGTATGATTTATAAGTAATTCATTTGCATTTTATTGCATGACATAAGTATTTGATACATCAGAAAAGCAGAACTTAATATTTGGTACAGAAACCTTTGTTTGCAATTACAGAGATCATACGTTTCCTGTAGGTCTTGACCAGGTTTGCACACTCTGCAGCAGGGATTTTGGCCCACTCCTCCATACAGACCTTCTCCAGAAGCTACAGGTTTCGGGGCTGTCGCTGGGCAATACGGACTTTCAGCTCCCTCCAAAGATTTTCTATTGGGTTCAGGTCTGGAGACTGGCTAGGCCACTCCAGGACCTTGAGATGCTTCTTACGTAGCCACTCCTTAGTTGCCCTGGCTGTGTGTTTCGGGTCGTTGTCATGCTGGAAGACCCAGCCACGACCCATCTTCAATGCTCTTACTGAGGGAAGGAGGTTGTTGGCCAAGATACATGGCCCCATCCATCCTCCCCTCAATACGGTGCAGTCGTCCTGTCCCCTTTGCAGAAAAGCATCCCCAAAGAATGACGTTTCCACCTCCATGCTTCACGGTTGGGATGGTGCTCTTGGGGTTGTACTCATCCTTCTTCTTCCTCCAAACACGGCGAGTGGAGTTTAGACCAAAAAGCTCTATTTTTGTCTCATCAGACCACATGACCTTCTCCCATTCCTCCTCTGGATCATTCAGATGGTCATTGGCAAACTTCAGACGGGCCTGGACATGCGCTGGCTTGAGCAGGGGGACCTTGCGTGCGCTGCAGGATTTTAATCCATGACGGCATAGTGTGTTACTAATGGTTTTCTTTGAGACTGTGGTCCCAGCTCTCTTCAGGTCATTGACCAGGTCCTGCCGTGTAGTTCTGGGCTGATCCCTCACCTTCCTCATGATCATTGATGCCCCACAAGGTGAGATCTTGCATGGAGCCCCAGACCGAGGGTGATTGACCGTCATTTTGAACTTCTTCCATTTGCTAATAATTGCGCCAACAATTGTTTCCTTCTCACCAAGCTGCTTGCCTATTGTCCTGTAGCCCATCCCAGCCTTGTGCAGGTCTACAATTTTATCCCTGATGTCCTTACACAGCTCTCTGGTCTTGGCCATTGTGGAGAGGTTGGAGTCTGTTTGATTGAGTGTGTGGACAGGTGTCTTTTATACAGGTAACAAGTTCAAACAGGTGCAGTTAATACAGGTAATGAGTGGAGAACAGGAGGGCTTTTTAAAGAAAAACTAACAGGTCTGTGAGAGCCGGAATTCTTACTGGTTGGTAGGTGATCAAATACTTATGTCATGCAATAAAATGCAAATTAATTACTTGTGTATAGTAACCCTAGGTGTAAAATAGTAAATAATGGCTATTTCTCAGAAAGTTTTAAACTGTCAAGAGGAGTGAAACAAGGTTGTCCACTAATCGGCATATCTATTTATTGTGGCCATCGAGATGTTAGCTATTAAAATCAGATCCAATAATAATATCAGAGGATTAGATATACAGGGCTTAAAAACAAAGGTGTCATTGTATGCTGATGATTCATGTTTTCTTTTAAATCCACAACTAGAATCCCTCCACAGCCTCATAGAGAATCTAGATACATTTTCTAACCTCTCTGGATTACAACCAAATTATGACAAATGTACTATATTACGTATTGGATCACTAAAAAATAAAATTTTT